GGTGTGTGAGGTTGGGAGAGGGTGTTGTGTGTGTGTGTGTGTGTGTGTGTGTGTGTGTGTGTGTGTGTTTCTTAACTTCAAAATGGAAGTTGAACAATGTGTTATCTTGGAAGAGAGGTTATGCTTTGTTTCCATGGGAAACAAAAGGCTGTAAATTCCTTCCAGATTTATGGAGATCATATTTGGCTGCAAGAGACCTCCTGAATACTTTGGCTATAGACATGGGGGGAGGAACCCCAAAAATGCTATAGGACAGGCGACATGTAAACTGAACCCTTGACCTGGGAACAGCTCTGAGATGAGAGGAGGCATGATTAGTCTTGTTGACTACAGAGCCCTCGTGACTTACTATTGTGTGTCATCCCTTCATAAGGCGTGGATAGAAATGTACATTACAGTTTCACTATATAGTCCAAAGAGACTTATAATGTTGACAGATGCCTTTTACCTGCTCAAACATAAAACAAAAATTCACCTTTAACTGAGGGGTGCATATCGCAAATTCCAACATTGTGTTAATGCAGACATGTATGCTATCTTTGAAATTTTAAGTGATTTTAGAACAATGGGAGCAGATATCAGTGAAAAGGGGGTGATCCAGCATCTCAGATTGTCTCTGTTTTCATTTTATCAGAGTTCTGAATCCAGAACAGCTTCAAGACTGTTGGATGAGATGCTTCACCCTCACAGACTACTCCAGCCAGGATTTCAGATAATCCTTGCACTTTCCCTTTTCACAAAGAATGGACAACAAATAATATAGATAACTATCCCAGGTCTCGATCATTATCCCAATTTTCCCAGGGTCTACTAAATATCCCAGTGTCCCAAGAAAACAAGAAACAGTCCTTCATGTTTACCTTTTTCCTTCATGTTTACCTTTTTCTTGACCATGACCAATAACACCTTGAGTCCAACCCTCCTAAATGATAACAATTATCTGTAACTCATCAAATAACCAAAAGCCATCCACAACATATCTTAGGAATGTGGATATCATATTCTCTAGACTGTTTCCTGTTTTCTTGGGACACTGGGATATTTAGTAGACCCTGGGAAAATTGGGATAATGATCAAGACCTGGGATAGTTCCTGTCATTTATTTTAGTTTGGAAGTTGCTTGCTGTGCACTTACTATTTCCTAAGCTAATATTGTATTTTTTCTGGGGTTGGTCTTTGATGGAGTTGAGGAATATATAGTCATAGTTTTCCCTACTTATAGAAGTCAAATTATGTATAGAGATTTGGACTCATCCAGACAGAAAAAAAAGAGTATGTTCTCCAATTTGTCAAACACAAATGGACTAGACATTGTAAATATAATCCTTACCTGATAACTGTGATTGTTGTTTATAGTTTTATTATGTTGGAGTTAAGAGCTTTTGTTTATATTTAGACAAAGGGGAGAAATGTTGTGGAATGATCTTTTTGTACACTGAAGATTTGTCACTTGGATTGGTTTAATAAAAAGATGAACAGCCAATATCTGGGCAAAATTTTAGGGATAAAGAGGACACTAGGAAGAAGGAGGGTGGAGATGTGAAGAGTTGACAACCAAAGATTGTCAGGAAAACAGCATGGATAGTATAAAGTTAAGTTATAAATCCATGAGGCAGAAAACAAATTAACAGAAGTGAGTTCATTGAAGTTATAAGAACTAGTTAAAAGTGATCCTAAGCTATCAGCTAAGCTTTCATAATTAATAATAAGTCTCCCTGATATTTATTTGAGATATGGCTTCTGGAACAGAAACATCAACCTACAGACTACCCTAGACAATCTTGCAGATGTGTCTATCAGCCCACTAGACCAGGTCTTTATGAGCACTAAGATAAGACAGACATGTTTGGAGGTCCCTGATACATGATAAAAGCTTTGGATGAATGGGTGAATTCATGTCCCAGGACGTTTGGCAGCCAGCACCATTACCATTGAGTCATCTCAATTTGATAGCCACCTTGTCATGGTTGGGGTCCTCAGTACTCAAGATATAGTTGTCAATGTGATTAAATCAGAGTAGAGAACAATGGGGCCTTTTCTCAATTTTACTATCTCATAGAATTGAGAATTTTTCTGATGCAGAATGTCTGCCCCTGTCTCTGTTCTTTTCCCTCAAACTGAAAATAGAAACCCTGAGTCCTTCCTCAAGACATTGTCTTCTTTGGGAGATTTCACCCAGGTTCTAAGCTGCCTCTCCCCCCCACACACATTCAGAGAGTGGCCTCCTCACCTGTGAGCGGGAACCCCTGCCAGAAAGAGCAAGGTATACAGGGAAGTGCGGTGGAGTCCATCAGGGCTCCTGTTGCCTGCTCTGTGCTCCAGCACTGCTCCCTCGCTCTGCCGTCTTGGTGTCAGCACTACTGTCCTTCCTTCCTTTTATCTGAGACTTCTCCCAGGTAGGAACACCTCCTAGAATCACATTGGCTGTGGACAATGACTGTGTGCATGACACAACAGCTCATTTCCCTTTCTTCTGTTCTCTATCTTTCTTCCCTTTCCTCTCTTTCCATTTCAGTCCTGCAGACTGCACAGTGAGCAATAGAGCTGATAAGTCTCTACATTCTCCAACAGAACAACACTCTATAAATGATCTTTGCCATGTCCTTGGCCTTGGGTCAGCATCAAAGAGAGAGGACCCCCTCCAGTGCTTTCTATTTTTTCCTTTTTGACATAGAAACCCAGCTAAGTGCCTGGTTATCTCTGTGTGCTCTGGAAAGGCAGGATTTACTTCCAGCAGGAATGTGACAAATATCTCCATAAGGGGGTAGAAGGGGACCTGCTTACTGATACCTGTGAAAGGGAATTCAACTACCACCATTCATTTCACCTGTCAGGGGCAGAAGACCAGGATCAATTGTGTCAGGAGTTTCATGTTCTGGATGTGTGGGAGGAAGTCACCTGTGTGTCCTAGGTAAGAGGACTGTGAGCTTCATCATTATATGAACGGTCTTGCTTCTTGCTTTGGCTAACCTGTACTTCAGATCTGCTCACAGTCCCCTTGGTTCCTCTGAAATGCCTGTATTATTCCTGGATGATTACACTTGGGAAAGTCTGAATTTACCCCATGAGAAATGACAGGACACAGGGATTACACTATTGTTTGTCAAAAATCAGGTGTTCGTATATGTGTGGGTTAATATCGGGGTTTTCAACTCTATTCCATTTGTCTACCTGTCTATTTTTGTGCCAATACCAAGCTGTTTTCAGGACTATAGCTCTGCAACCTCTGGGACTTTGGGGATGGAGATGAAAACCTAGTTGCAATTAAAGTCCATATCTCATGGAAATAGTTTCCTGAGTGTTGATTACGTGTCTGGATCTCATCCCTTTGAGAGCATTAGGGTACCTGAAGTACGCGTCTGAGGCTACAATAGGAATGGTGATCAGTCTCAAATGCCATGAGCTGACCTGGGCACAGGTTCATTGTGGAGACAATCAC